GGGAAACGCCTCCTTGTTTTGGAACAACATCTCCAATCGATCCAGGTGTGAAAATACCCTTAGACTCAATCCACCTCTTGCCCCTACCACTAGGTGCTACCCCTCCGTTTTGCGCGTTCACGTCTAGTGGCAGGGTGTCCCGATTCTTTTTGCGATAGAGGAGTATGGCGAAGAGGGAGGGCGAGATAGCCCTCGAAAGAATACAAGATTTTTCTTTGCATAATTTATGATAACCATGGTTATTCTTAGTTTAATGTCATTTCAATGTAATATGTTGATTTTCTTCAAATGAATTATAAACAAATCGCTAGTTCAGCCGCTAGCATGTTGTCTTGTTAGCTAGCTTCCTAGAAACGTTACTTACATGGTAATGAAGCTTTGTTTTTCATTTTTAATTGGTGACTTGTAAGATCGTTTAATGTGTGATATAACGTAACCATATGAGACAGATTACCACAGTGGAGGACGGCATATTGGAATTATTTTCAATCGTTGTCCTGGAGAAATCCTGTAAAAACTTTGCTTCAGAAACGTCCCTCATGAAAAGTAGACTAAACTGTCAGTTTAGTTTTAACAATAATCTGATGACTAAAATGTGACCAGTGATCATTTTCATAAGGCTCAGTAAAACTACGACTAAATCACAATCAGATGGCCCTTTATTAATACATCCTGCCCTGACTCAGTTTTTGTGGTAACGTTACGTGCTTTTATTTATTTATTCTCCGTTCCCTAGTTTTACTTTGTCACTCACCTCTCCTCCTATTATTAGATCACCTCACCTCCTGCCCCTGTCTGATTTTCACCTGTGTAATTGTCCGCCCCTTGTCCTTGTTAGATTCACCCCCCTTAGAGTATTTAGTTTACCTGGTCCCCTGTCTCATAGCCAGTTCCTCTTAGTACTTTCATGTCATGTAAAGAATCGCTATTTCTAAACTGTAATAACGCTGCGTTACCAGAATGCAATTTGTTTTGTTGTCCTTGACGTGTAAATGTGCAAGTCAGCAGCAGTTCAAGTCGAGAAGCTAGACATTATGTTAATACAGTCAGCTGTTAGCCAAAAAGCTAAACTAAGAATGAGGGAAATGGAGGTGTTCTTTTGACAGCTGGAAGTATCACCACTATTGTGTCACAGTCAAAGATGCAAAGAACATTGTTATCCGTTATAAATTTTGTGTGACCATCTACTAAATTGAAGCATCTGCTAAAGCAGCACAGCAGCGTGAAACTTGCAAAAAGAAACTCCGGTTGCTGCTGCCAGTGATGCATGTACTCGTTGGGATCAAGCGGCGTTAAGCAACTTTATGTTTTGTAAAAACACTCAATACTGCTCTGTGTGCAGAAAAACAGTAGTTAAAAAGTCGTGAGTTACCTGCTTTATTTTTTATTTCAGCGAGTAGTGTTAAGAAACGATATATGTTTTCTAAAAAAAAAAAAACTCCTTGCTTGCTGTTAGACCTCTCAGGTCATCTGGGGCAGGTCTGCTTTCTGTCCCCAGAGTCAAAACTAAACATGGAGAAGCAGCGTTCAGTTTTTATGCTCCATAGATCTGGAACAAACTGCCAGAGAACTGCAGGTCTGCTGAAACTCTCAGTTCTTTTAAATCAAGACTGAAGACTTTTTATTTCACCACTGCCTGTAATTCAATCAAATTTAGGGCTATAGATTACTAAATTAATAACTTAAACTGCACTGTTTTTATTTTCTATTTAACTCTTTAAAATGTGTTTATAACTCTTTTAATTTGTATTTCAATGTTTTTTCTATATTTCCCTGTTGCTTTTATGTTTTATGTAAAGCACTTTGAATTCCCTTGTTGTTGAAATGTGCTACACAAATAAACTTGCTTTGCCTAGATATGAATAATAAATTGGGAGAGACTCGCTTTGTTTTTTATTTATTTATTTATTTTTAATATAAACATAGCCTAAACTGTACAGTATCATCTGGTTTAAGAGGCTGTAGTCTGTCTGTCACTTTTTTAAAGTCTATTATACCGCATTTCCAGTCCTATATTGTAGTTCTGTCTTTTCTCTATGGCAGCTTTGCATGATTCAAATATAAAATAAATAATTTTCTATGTTACACTGGCTCTTCATGCAGGCTCTCATTTCAGCCTCTGTCTGAAACAAGCTGTAGATGCTCCTGTCTCTTTAAGGCCCCCGCTCCAAAGCTCCAAATGTTTTCTGATTGGCCATTCTCTAATGTGTTTATCAGGCTGCCACAGGGATAGGGCTGCATGTTCCTTTGTGGGCGTGGCCAGCATTCTCTGCCCGGAGCAAATTACCATATATGGAAATCCGAATGACATCATACCGAGCCGTTAGTAGAAAAAACAGTTGAAAACAGAGTGTTCAGAACAGAGGGATATCTGAGGTTTTGGCTCACAGGGATTTCTTTTAAATACTTTGACCTCATTATTTGAAACTTCGGCCATGTTTATCATGAACATCTGATATTGTAAAATTATAGAAATGCCAGAAAATATGAAAACGCCTAATAGGTCCCATTTAATGAGTAACATAACTAATTACTTTTTACCCATTAATAAGTAAAGTAATATTAAAACTTTTTAAAGGAGTAATGCGTAAATAGTAACTTGTCCAACTTGTTTCTGACATCGTCTTGGCCTACTCCCTGCTGGATTTGTTTGTCCATATCGGACTGATCTCCTGTGTACCGAACCTGTGCCTGTTATCTAAACTACTGCTGGTCGCCCTGCCAGTGCTTTCTCCAGTCGTTACATTGATTTGCAGGTAAAACACCTAAAATGTTGATAGCAATCCCTCCTCGCACAGGAAAACAGTGAGTTGAGTAGATTAGAGTTGAAGTGTGTGAACGCTGTGATGAGTGTTCACCTTTCTTTTCTCATGCTTTGACTGACCCCGCAGAGTGTTTCCAACTTACTGAGATCAGTGATGTCGTCGTGTTTCCAGATCTTAACAATAAATGATGGACAAATCTACAAAAATTAAAACCAAAACTTTGGAGGTGTTCGTCTCATTAGTCACCATCACTCATACGATGTGCCTGTGCGTCATTATTATGTATAAACTCTTTTATTGTCACACATCTGCATCTTTTATTCTCCTTCCACCAGCAGTGAAACAAAACCCTCAGTGTTCTCTCAGGTGTTGGCCGAAATTGATTCCTCTTTATTTTTACATTTATTTTGCACTGAACTGCTTCTTGTTTCTATTTTTAAACGAAAACAAGTAAATAGCTCAATTCAAACTATGAAAGAAAAAGTTTGGAGAAACGAGAGGACACGAGCGACGGGAAGTTTGCGGATCTGTTGAGGGAATCAGAACAAATCTGCAATAAGAATGTGAAGCAAAGTGTACAGAACAAATGTTAACAAAGGTTAAAGTTTAAAAACAGAAAATAAATAATCAGACGTCACTCTGCTTCCTAACGCTCACGCTCTGACTAAAGAAAACCCCAGAGGCTTTGAGCCGACGCCAGCAGCCGTCATTAAGAAAGAGAGATGGAGAGAGAGAGAGAGGCTTGTTTGGTTGTTGTTTTCTGATTTCTTTTTTTTTTTACTCCCGCTGCTGCTTATTGGTTTAGAGCGGAGGAGGAAGAGGAATGAGGGACAAACACAAACAAAGAGACAAACATCAAAACTGTCGACCTCAAGGGAGCAGCAACATCCGCTAACGAGCTGCGACAGCAAGAGGAGGAGAGGAAAGAGAGAGAGGAGGAGAGGAGATGAGAGAGGAGAGGAAGAGGAGAGGAAGCAGGAGGAGAGGAGATGAGAGAGGAGAGGAAGAGGAGAGGAGGCAGGAGGAGAGGAGATGAGAGAGGAGAGGAGAAGAGAGAGGAGAGGAAGAGGAGAGGAGGCAGGAGGAGAGGAGATGAGAGAGGAGAGGAAGAGGAGAGGAGGCAGGAGGAGAGGAGATGAGAGAGGAGAGGAGATGAGAGAGGAGAGGAAGAGGAGAGGAGGCAGGAGGAGAGGAGATGAGAGAGGAGAAGAGGAAAGAAGAGAGTAGAGGAAGAGGAGAGGAGGCAGGAGGAGAGGAGATGAGAGAGGAGAGGAGAGGAGATGAGAGAGGAGAGGAAGAGGAGAGGAGGCAGGAGGAGAGGAGATGAGAGAGGAGAAGAGGAAAGAAGAGAGTAGAGGGAGAGGAGAGGAGGCAGGAGGAGAGGAGATGAGAGAGGAGAAGAGGAAAGAAGAGAGGAGGGGGAGAGGAGAGGAGGCAGGAGGAGAGGAGATGAGAGAGGAGAAGAGGAAAGAAGAGAGGAGGGGGAGAGGAAGGAAAGAGAAGAGGAAAGGGAACAAAGAATAAAGAGAACAGAACAAATGGGAAAAGAAGATTTTAGGAGAGAAGTTGATACAAGATGAGAAAAATTAAAGAGGAGAAAAGTCAAAAACAAGTTGAGAGACGAGAAGAAGGCTTGAGGATTGATTTTAAGATTTTATAGCTTGTTTTTAAAATTTTCAACGGGCTGGCACCTTCTTATTTATGAGAACTTTTGTACACACTCCGGTGAAAGCACTGAGGTCATCCAATCAGATGCTCCTCGATGTCCACAGATCCAGGTTAAAAACTAAGCCTTTTCAGTAGCTGCTCCTAACCTTTGGAATACTTTACCTGTTGAAATAAGAATAGCTCGGACCGCTGACACTTTCAAATCCTTGCTAAAGACCTATTTATTGGCCTTTAAAGAGAGTTGAGTATTCACATTTTCTACTGCTGTTGTCGTGTATATTTGTTGTGTATTCTGAACCTGGAAAGCATTTTGGTCAACTAGGGTTGTTTATAAATGTGCTATATAAATAAACTTGAACTTGAAGAAGCGAGAAGACAAGAGACCAGATTTACAGAAAAGAAGAAATTGGACAAGAAGAGAAAGGAAGAAAGAGAGAATCAAGAAAACAGAACAGAAGAATAGATGGGAAGTAGAACAGAACAGAGGAGGGGATGACAGAGCACAAACTCGAGCAGCCGAACAGAACAGTGGCAGAAAGGTCGAAAGGTCACTTGGCCATGACTCACCTTCGTCCTCGTCGTTGGCGGTGACGGTGATGAGGACGAAGCCAACCTCCTTGTCTTCCTCCACGCTGACCTCGTACACCGGCTGGGCGAACGCCGGGGCGTTGTCGTTGACGTCGGTGATGAAGATCCTGACGTAGGCTGTGTCTGAAAGAAAGAAGGACGAAGGGATTTAATGACGAGCGTCATCTGAACATATTTATTGGAAACATCCATAAACTTTCCTCCTTTTATGGTCTGTAGAATCTCAGACATGTAACTTTCAAATCTCTATTTAATTATATTAAAAAACAAATAATAATAATAATTCCCTCTTTTAAATCTTCACTCACTGTGCGTGAGAGATTATGTTTAAATTCTTTCGCACATTCCCTCTTATTGCAAATATTTTTTTTATCCCTCAGACAGACTAAAATAAACTTTACCAATGAAAGGTTGGATCATATTTATTTTAAATTTAGACAAATTATTTTTGTGGAAGCAGTGTAATGGGAGAATCAGATTGGTTTCAAGGTTTGTTCCCTTCCAGATGTGTCACTTGTGAGTTTATGTGTGTTACGCTGACTGCACACTAGAGGATAAGGCAGATTTTGGGTCTGATTCACCTTCCCGAGCCGAGGCTGGTCGGAACAGATAATTGGCCCAAATGATCCTGTAGTGTGAGGTAGAATAGTAAACATCAGTCTCTATACACCTAAGCAACACAAAGGAGGTTAAATTATCCAGGGTTTTTCCTGGCTCAGAATGGGCCTTTGGGGGGTGACTTCGCACGACAGTAAGGATGATCGCGTACAGTAAAGGCAATGACTTACCTTACAACCGAAATGTCTACATTTTCTTGTATGTATTATTTCTGACCATTTGATAAATAAAATATATCCACAACTTGGAGGAGTAAAGGTATAAATTAGTGAATTAATAAATATTATCACATTAAATAGAAAGTATAATGTTAGTATAATAATATATTTCCATGTTACACTTTATTTGGATGATCTGCCTACAGATAGTTTATTAGCAGAGATTTAGCTGTGTCACAAACTACACCACTGTGGTTAAGGTTGGATTAGTGCTAATGTTTGTGTATTCATTATAATTTCAGATAGTACAGGCTACTATAGCTTACCATTAGTAGCCTGTAATAGTAATTCCAGTTGGACAAACAGCAGTTTCATTTTTGTGGGTTGTTTTTGGGTTGTTCATTAAATTATGGTGCAAGAAAAATGCTCTACATGGTGGTCAGTCTCTCATTTGTTTATGCAAATTAACTCAAAAATAAAAACTGTGCATACAGAACGACAAGCTAAACATTTCTAAAGTTTTCTGTAGTTCCTCAACCTTTTTTTAATGTTCCGCCTCCTCCAGGCTGTGATTGGTTGGTTAACGAAAAGTGACTTTGAAGATCCACTATACACATGGCTGCATGAAAGGCTCCCGATCTCCCTGCGGAGATTAGCAGGCAGGAGAGAACGGGAACAGGTGAGCGTCACGTAGTGCCCAGAAAACCTGATCTGGACAGGGCAGAGGAGAGTCCCGGTGCTGGTACGCCAAAGACTAAAATGTAATAGTGACCGGTACCGGTGAATACCAGGACCTTCAAGCATAAACAGCTTTAATATTGTGAGAAATAACAGGAAGTCTTTAGTGAAAGCTTTGTAACGGAGCGTTCAGGCGCAGTCACACCATACAGTCTGTGAGTTAAACCAGCGCAGCCGCCGGTTTATAAATCCAGCGCCTGCTTCATGTGTAAAATACAGCGGCTATGGATGAGAGCAGAAGTGACTGCTGGGAGTCAAGATGTTGTATTTAAGTTTATATTCTGATTGCTCAACAGTTGTTTGATAAATGGCTATTAAAACACATTTGGGATTAGAAATGTTGTTGTTTTTTTTCAATTGTGATCATTTTGGCGCCTCTTTGGGGGGCGCCAAAAATGTCTCTATGCAGAAAAAAACGGGCTATCTGCGCAGCTGTAACGTTAATGTTACCCGGTCGACATGCATATATAACCAATTACTTAGGTTTAGGCACACACCGCTGTGATGGTTAAGGTTAGCGTACGGTGCTTCCAAACATTGCAAACATTCTTAGCTAGCTAGCTACTTAAACTATAATGTAGCTAACGTAACATAGGTTAAGCTATGAAGCTAACGATAGCAACGTAAGTAACGCTATGTGACATGGTAACGACGTAACATAACGCAAGTTACGCAGCCTACATAACTTAAATAAAATCAAAAACGAATGTCGTCTTATTAATAAATTTTTCTTTCACACAGGAACCGAACGCCGGTCTCTTGGGTCAGGGAGAACTTTCAACTGTCCACCCGATCAATATCCATCACCTTTTTGTCGGACTTTCATGGCTATTTATATCCCACATCTGCTGGGGTTTTTTTTTAGCTGTGACGGTGTGTGTGTGAAATGGCCCGCCGTTTCTGCACAATCAAAGTTAATGCATGTGAAATGACTTAAAGAATTGGTGTGTTATTCACCTGCCTTTGGATGATACCAGGCTGTATAAACCTGCTGATTCCATCTTCTCAGCCTCGAGTTCATCAACAGTTTGATTCCTATCATTTGTTTTTCTGTGCAAAACACAAGTCAAGTCTGATCACGCGAGTTTCTGTGAGAAGTCCCTGGAACCGCCACTCTGAAATCATTTAGTATAAACGCCAAGTGTGTGGTCCTGCGTCAGGACTGAAACACGTTCTTAAAATAAAATATAAAAATGTTGTTAAATTGGTCGTTAAAGTAGGTTGAGATTTGAAAATCCTCTAGCGTGCACCAGGCATTACCGGTGTTAGGTTGTCCCTGCTGGCCTGGTCTGGACGACTCAGAGCTGTCCTGCGACTGGACCTCGATCAGGTAGGAGGCTTTCTGCTCGCGGTCGAAGGAGGCTCGCGTGACGATGACGCCGCTGCGTGAGTCGATGCTGAAGAACTGAGAGTCCCCGCTCTCATCCTTTAGGATCACATAGTGGACCTGAAGAAGAAGGAGAAACAAGCTGAAGTATAGTAGCAGAAGAGGAAGAGGTTAATCAGCATGTGTGTGCGCTCCTCACCATCCCATGCAGACCAGAGTCCAGGTCTGTAGCCGACACCTGAGCCACAGACGTTCCGATCTCTGCTCCTTCAGGAACCGTGGCCTCGTAGGTGGACGACAGGAAGAAAGGAACATTGTCGTTCACGTCTGATGACAGAATGAAAATAAAGCGAGAAAATGAAGAGCAGCTATGAAATATATTATTTTCCTAAATAAGTCTCTTTTTTTTGTTGTTTTGATGTTGCAGGATCTGGCAGCAGAACAGCTACAGTCTGTCATGTCCATGGAAGCTGATTCATTTGGATTAAAGCTGACAAAGACGAGACGAAAGAAAAGCAGGAAAGACCAGGACAAACCAAGAAAACGAAGAAGCAGAGAAAAGCAGATAGAAGGCAAAGAAAAGCAAAGAATGACAGAAAAAAAGTTTGAAAAGAGTTTGTGGTTTTTACAGCATATACACCAGTAAAGTAACAATCATCTGCAGTGAAATCTGGAGGGAGCTCTCAGAGAGCAGACGCCCGTCAGAAAGTGAAGTTGGACGGTGTCTCCCCCTCACTAATGAAATCTTAGTTATTAGTGAGGAATTATCCTCCAAACACCGTGAAGAGTCCACAAAGCAGCTTGTCAGCTCACTTTCAAGCTCCACTAAGCCAATTACAGCGTCCGATGTGGGTTTGTTCAAAGCCAATCAAAGTCAGCAAGTGTTTTCTCCTCTTTCCTTCTCTCCACCTGCCTCCAGACGCTGATTGGGAAGTGAGTCACTGTTAAAATGAGGTGGCAAGGAGCTTTTTATTCTTTTATTTTTACTGCCAGAGACGACCAGGGATATGAACTTCCCTTCGTTATTTTTACCCCATCATTCTCTTTGTCGTTTTGCAGCAGTGTCTCTCATTATAGTAGTTTCAGTTCATTGCTGATCGCTTCTTTCCCTCCGCTGGTCAGAGCTGAACTTTTTTTTTAGGAGAGTAAATGCGCTCCTAGTTTTAAAAACAGAAAGTCTGAGAAAGTAAGAAACCTGGGTTTCAAATTAGAAGTGGTTTAAAAAGATGACCTGACAACTGATGTTATTTTAATAGCTTTTGTGTTTAGATTGTATTTAATATTACTAAATCAAAAAACTCTCTCGGTAGCATTGTGTTTCTACTTTGCATGACTTATTAGACCCAATCAGAGAGCCAAACATGAGCGTCTGTGTCATTGTTTCTGAACTCCTCCGTTTTTGCAGTCTGCACAAAAACGCTACCCGGAGTTTTAAAACGAAATACGGCATCAGCAGCGTTTTCAAAATTTTTTAGGTCTTCGTTTTTGCCGTTTTAGTCTGGAACGGAGGTGCAAACGTAGCAAAATGTCTCCATTTTTAAAACGAAAATGCAGTAGTGTGGATGGGGCCACAGGAGCACCAGCAGCGCCGGTGATGTGCAGAGCTGTGCAGGAAGTTTGTGGGACGTTCATATCATTTATCACCATTGATGAACTACACAAAGATTATTATATCGTTTTTAAACAGTAATTGGAATAGACTTGCGAGGAACCACGACATGCATGAAATTCTCGGCGAGTCGGTGGACATGCACAACTCTGACCGGTGAATGTCAGGCGAGCAGAGCAGAGAGAAAAGGGTCTACAATAAGCCTCAGTTTAGTAGTTACTAGTGTATAGCAACAGCTTCTCAAGATTAAAGCAGAGCTACCAAATAGTGCTGGGCAACGATTAAAATGTTTAATCGCATGATTTTCGATTAATGCAATTAATCACATTGTTATGCGCAAAATGTCATGAATTCTAAAGTAGTGGATTGCACACTTTTAATTTAAATGTACTGATATACACAAAAGTGTAATAACATGTGGTTTGTAAACGCTTTAAACAAATAAGGTGCTTTTTACCAGCAGTATTCCCTTTACACAGTAGCAATAAAATATTTCTTGTAAATGTCAACTTAAACATTAATGTAATCAAACCAATGCTATTTGCCACTACCAGGGCATTACCTTTTACAGTTTGTTAAAACAAGTTACCATCAGAGTCCAGGTTTCTGTTTTCTTTTCTGAGCAGGTATCAGCAAAAACATTTTTCTTTTATCAGGAAGCAGCAGAAACAGTCTGTGTTCAGTAACAAGTGTCCCTGTTAGAGTGAGCTGAAGTGGTCGAGCACAAGGTGTAGCGACAAGCAGGCACAAGCCTGCCCGCCACCGAAGTTGAATTCTCTTGAACTTTTTGTACGTGACGCGCAGCACAAATCACTGGAAAAGAGACTTATCCTCGCTGTTTGTGAGTTTCCAGAATCTATTACTGTTAACTAAACAGGACATCAGCAGGAGGAATTCACACGGCAGAGCAACCCTGCAAAACTAGATGAGGCCTATCAGGTAAAGTTCTGATTTGACCAGGCATGAAGAAAGTGCAATTTACCTTTCATACAACCAAAAAGCACTGCATTAGTCTTCCCACACAAACTGTCACAAGCTGACAACAGTTGACAGCGAAGCACTGATTAAGAATCTACGCTCCACGAAAGCAGCGACTTTATCACCCGTGTTCTCTGGATTGGACGATCTCAGCTGTATGATGGGATTGAAGCAACTCTTTTTTATTTGTCATTACTTATAAGATGTAGTCCTCACAAAGATTAGAAGCAGAAGAGCAAACACACACTCCTTCCCCCGCCTCACCTGTCACATTGACGTAGACGGTGGTGAACGATGCGAGCGGCACGGCTGCGACGTTCTGGACTCGCACTCTGAGAGTGAAGAAGCGCGTTGTCTCGTAGTCGAGGTTCTCGGCCACCAGGATGGACGCCGAGCTGTCCGCCCGGTTCGGCTTGACGTAGAACCTCACCGGCATGTTGGTCTCCGGGACCTGACCCTCCTCCAGGTTGTAGGTCACCCGGGGGTCACCGAGAGGGGACGTCGCCTTGATGGTCTGATGGGAGAGAGAGAGAGACAGGTAGAGGTCAGGGGGAGGAAGAGTTATATGATTGTGTGTCTGAGCTTCACGGTGCTTTTCAGCAACACTGAGAAGAAGGTCGACTGATTCAGAGAGCAGAGAGAAAGCAAACCGACAGGAAATCACACGGGGGATAAATACTGGTGATATGCACACCTGGAGACAGCACGGTTGGCCGGCCAATGAGATTTCACTGACACGGTCACTTACATTGACACGCCTCACTCTACCTTCCTGCTCCTGTGTGCTCAGACACAATTTGAACGCTCTGATTATGAAAAAAATGACTTTCTTTGAAAATATAACAACAAAAAATATCAAAAAATAAAATGTATGGAAAACTAATATAGATCAGATAATTAGCAGAATATGAAGGAGACAGACTGTAGATGACCCCAAACTTTGAGAGAATGATATTTACCAGTTTACATTTGAGTAATAAAGGATGTCACATGAGGCAGTGGGGCAGTGGATAAGACATGTGCTTTTGGTGTGGGTTCGATTTCCACTGTGAGACATCCACCGCTGTGTCCCTGAGCCACAGCTAGCTAACACCTAGTTGCTCCAGAGGCGTGCGACCTCTGACATATAAAGCAATTGTAAATTGTAAAAAGTGTAAATTAAGTAAAAGCCTCAGCCAAATAAGGAAATGTAAAATGTAAACATGTCTTTCCCACTGGGTTGTATCTGCAGCAGTCAGTGCTGACAACGGGGCAAGTGCCTCAGACCCCATGGAGCTGCCTTGACCCTCGAAAGCTCCAGATTTATTGTTTGTCAGTTGTTTGTTAGTAAATCAGTGAATTGTACAATTTTTTATTACATTTTGGAACAACTAAAACACAATACCCACTGAAGCTCCCGTTCCACCACATCCCAAAGATGCTCTATTGGGTTGAGATCTGGTGACTGTGGGGGCCATTTTAGTACAGTGAACTCATTGTCACGTTCAAGAAACCAATTTGAAATGATTCGAGCTTTGTGACATGGTGCATTATCCTGCTGGAAGTAGCCATCAGAGGATGGGTACATGGTGGCCATAAAGGGATGGACATGGTCAGAAACAATGCTCAGGTAGGCCGTGGCATTTAAACCATGCCCAATTGGCACTAAGGGGCCTAAAGTGTACCAAGAAAACATCCCCCACACCATTACACCACCACCACCAGTCTGCACAGTGGTAACAAGGCATGATGGATCCATGTTCTCATTCTGTTTACGCCAAATTCTGACTCTACCATCTGAATGTCTCAACAGAAATCGAGACTCATCAGACCAGGCAACATTTTTCCAGTCTTCAACTGTCCAATTTTGGTGAGCTCTTGCAAATTGTAGCCTCTTTTTCCTATTTGTAGTGGAGATGAGTGGTACCCGGTGGGGTCTTCTGCTGTTGTAGCCCATCCGCCTCAAGGTTGTGCGTGTTGTGGCTTCACAAATGCTTTGCTGCATACCTCGGTTGTAATGAGTGGTTATTTCAGTCAAACTTGCTCTTCTATCAGCTTGAATCAGTCGGCCCATTCTCCTCTGACCTCCAGCATCAACAAGGCATTTTCACCCACAGGACTGCCGCATACTGGATGTTTTTCCCTTTTCACACCATTCTTTGTAAACCCTAGAAATGGTTGTGCGTGAAAATCCCAGTAACTGAGCAGATTGTGAAATACTCAGACCGGCCCGTGCTTCACTCATTTTCACTTCACCACCTGTACCTCTCTAATCCAATCACACGCACATACATATATAAGCCTGTCTAACCCCTTTCCCTCCTGGTTCTCAGTTCTCACATCCTTCCCCCCCAAACCCTGTTTTCTCACCTCTTTTTATGGGCAGCACGGTGGCCCAGTGGAGAGTGCTGTGGCCTCCCAGCAAGAGGTTACTGGGTTCAGACCTCGCTCAGCCCAGGCCCTTCTGTGTGGAGTTTGCATGTTCTCCCTGTGATTGTGTGGTTTCCTCCCACCGTCTAAGCCGTGCACGCTAAAATTTATAATTGCGCCAAAGTAATTGTTCTCTTTTTACCACAGGATTCACGGGAGGGTTGATAATCAAGAGCCCTAGTGACCTTGAAGAGCCCCCACCCTGAGTCTCGATCCCCAGGTTCCAAGCCGCTCCGGCCACCAAACCCTTAACAACCTCCTTCATCCCTCCATTCTCGACCCCTTCAACTCTCTCCCCTTGATCCCTCCATCATAAATACTCCTCATTATCCGAATAAACTACCTTTTCATACCTTACATTGGCGTGGTCTTTGTTAGTGATAATACACTTGTGTCATGAGATGTGACGATGCACGAGAACAAGACGAGAAGATTTCTAACAATATTTTGAAGAAATAGGAAATGCTGCACTATTTGAGTGGGGGGTATGAGGGTCCTCTCCCAGAAAATTGGAGCATTAAACACTTAATTTTCTGCATTCTAGAGACATTTTCTGCTCCAATTTACGGTGGACTTTTTTATATAAGGGGAAACAAAAAAATTCAGCTCGCAGCTTAAGTTACTTCTTTTGAACAATGCACATTTGTTTCTTCTATATTTAAATGGCTTTGCATGTTTTATTATTGTGCAAATAAACCTTTCTAAAAAGCATTTTCATTTGTTAGTGAACATTTCTTGGTGCAAGCTATTTTTCATTTTTAACAAATTCTTTCAAAAAGTGATCAGCTATTTCAAAATGTGATGGGGACATGTAAATAACACCTATGGTATATAAATAAATGTGATTTAATTTAAATTACAAATCTGGGGCAGGAAATATTGTTCTGTTACTTGGTTTGCAGGTGAACTGCAATGTTGATCTGAATCTGATATTTGCACTATACAAAGCAATAAGAGTGCATATTACAGTTGCATCTCTTTAAATTGGATTTGAATAAATGGTTGTGGAGAATGTAAACAGGAATCATCCCTCACATACAGTAACTGCAGCCACTGAGTGACTCAGCTCCTCTGTGTATTCCTCTTAAGGTTCAAGTTTATATCTTTAATTCTGCAATCCAGATTTATCTCCATTTCTGAAACAATAACTCCCACATCTCATTATAATCCATCAAAAGAACCGAAGGCCGAAGAAGAAGGCTGGCTCGTGATAACATCATGTTACCACACAGCTGCTTGCCGTCGACAGCGAGGTCGTTCATCATCAAAACGGCTCCAACTGCTTCAACGTCTCCCAGATCCATAAACCATAACACTCACCAAAAAATGACACGGTAAGATACACAACCGCATTACAAAGAATGCGTCGTTTCAACGGTCAGAGCTGCGAGTCAGTCCTTCTATGGATATGAGGGAGTCGGGGAGAAAACGTCAGGAATGTGTGTGTGTGTGTTGTCTTGACCTGTGCATCCACCAGCAGCAGAGCTTTTAAAGACTCATATTATTCTCTTGGCTGCAGTTTGAGCTGACCTTAGAAAGTGTGTGTGTTTGTGTGTCTCTGAGCTTTTAAAGCTCTTGTCCTTCCTGAACACACACTCCCAACCTCACCAGGGAAGGGTTGTGTTTTCTACGGCTGAGTGATGCCACCTCAGTTTACTGCACTGAGAGAAAGGGTATGACCTGTACTATTAGACACACACACACACACACACACACACACACACACACACACACACACACACACACACACACACACACACACACACACACACACACACACACACACACACACGTTTGTTCCACTATACCTGTGGGGACATCTCATCAGTAATGTAATGTTTTTTGCTGTAACACAGTAATATAAATTTGCTAAAAGAAAATCAGTAATGTTATACCCGTTATAATCTGAGTAACGCGCTATACAATGCATCTTAACCACAAATTAAGTGGTGTTTTCTTTGTTTAATAATTCACCATCACCGACAAACAAACAAACCACGAGTAAAAGAGTAACGTTATTTCCTGTTGTGCTTTATTATGTGTCTTGTCAGAATAAACAGAGATCAATGTTACATCTTCAATTACTAACTAACATAACTCAGGAAGCTACTGGTTACTGGGTCATCTTAATTCAATGCATCTGTGCATCAGTCGGACCAATACAACTAAAGATGGTTCTGGGGGAAAAAATGACAATGTCCACTAAAAGTATAGTAAGTGCTAAATCATTTGACCCTTTTATATAAGGGGACCCTTTCACCAGTGCAACCTTCAAACAATTTACGTCATGCTATGCCAAACAAGATCTGTGTGCACTCAGTGCAAAGTTAAGTCCAGGACGTGGTCAGCCCAGCTTATCACGAAGACTGGAAGTTGGGGGAAACTAGCTTAATTATAAGAGAAACATTGACCTTCCAAAAACCCCAAACATTGTTACCACCAGAGGTAACATGTTTCTCCACAGCAACACAGAGAAACACTGAGTGAGAAACGCTGTCTCCTACTTCAAACACCAAAACACTTTCAGCCCACTCTCTTGGTGACCAGAGCAGCTCGAATGCCCCTCGTTCTCATGTCTTTACTAGCCGCTAAGCATGTTAAGAAGACAACACACCCTGACATAAATATGCATAGACACAGAGGAATATCCAGAACACACCAAAATCAAAGTCCGTCCATCCATTCAATTTCTGCTGCTCACCTGGGGCCGGGTCGTGGAGGCAGCAGGCTAAGCAACGTAGTCCATGCATCCCTCTTGGCGCCAACGTTTTCCAACTCCTCCATTTGGACGTGCCAGAGCACCCCATACTCCCACAGTACCCACTACACTGGGGGATGCAGCCGTACGCCTTCCCCTTGTCCACAAAACACATGTAGACTAAATAGGCAAACTCCCATGCAACTCCCAAAATCTCTGCAAGGGTAAAGAGTGGTCCACTGTTCCACGAACACAATGGAATCCACATTGCTCCCCCTGAATCTGCGGTTTGGCACTCGTTCTGAACCTCATTTCCATCACCAGCATAAACTTTCCCAGGAAGACTGAGCAGTGTGATACCCAAGTAATTAAGGGCACAAACTCTGGACCTCCTTTTCAAAAATGGG